GGGCTGCCATCTTTGTGTAAGTTCTGGAGGAGGCTGGCCTCCTTACCACAGCTGGTAACCCTTTTTATGCCACATGGCCAATGCCAGGGGGGGAGGTGATATATGGGCAGATGCTCTGCAGAGCCTGGCAACACCAGAGCATCAGCCTGTAATCCTCTGCCAGTGGCCCCTGAGCAACCGTAACCCTTTCCTGCCCAAAAAATACTGGAGGGGGGGGGAGCTTAACCCTTCCCAGACAATGCCAGAGAGGACGGGGGAGCATTTCCCTTCCCATACAACTCTGGAGACGATGGGGGACAGAACCCTTTCCTTCCCATACAATGCTGGAGACGATGGGGGAGCGTAACCCTTTCCTTCCCATACAATGCAGGAGATGATGGGGAGCGTAACCCTTCCCTTCCCATACAATGCTGGAGATGATGGGGGAGCGTAACCCTTTCCTTCCCATACAATGCTGGAGATGATGGGGGAGCGTAACCCTTTCCTTCCCATACAATGCTGGAGATGATGGGGGACAGAACCCTTTCCTTCCCATACAATGCTGGAGATGATGGGGAGCATAACCCTTTCCTTCCCATACAATGCAGGAGATGATGGGGGACAGAACCCTTCCTTCCCATACAATGCTGGAGATGATGGGGGAGCATAACCCTTTCCTTCCCATACAATGCAGGAGATGATGGGGGACAGAACCCTTTCCTTCCCATACAATGCTGGAGATGATGGGGGAGCATACCCCTTCGTTCCCATACAATGCTGGAGATGATGGGGAGCATAACCCTTCCTTCCCATACAATGCTGGAGATGATGGGGGACAGAACCCTTTCCTTCCCAGACAATGCTGGAGAGGACAGGGGGAGCTTAATCCTTCCCTAGTGAGACAATGCAGAGAGAGATGCCGGGAACTTAACCCTTCCCTGCCTAGACAGGTTGTAAAGGAACATTGACTGCAGAGCACAACGTGTCATTGTAAGGAAATTTCAACCTGTGTAGTGGGATGGAGAGAAAACTCGGGACACACAGTAACAAGACCCGATAAGAGCTCATTCATTA